TATCTGCTAAAAGCGATTCTTAGTTTAGACATGCTAAAACGTTTCTGTTTCACACAAATAAGCTCAAAACCTACTTTCCTCTCGGATTTCTTTATTTTCTCATAGACATTCATCGCAATCAAAGAATTAATTATCTCGTAGGCAGAGATTTAGTTCATTTAGCTTTGAGAATGCTTATAAAATATATGCCAGTATACTTAGCTACATGTCATCATCACCAACAAATGATGTAAAAGTATCGTAAATTCCGTTTGCAAACAATAGGACTTCCTATCTTAATTCAAAGAATCTTGTCAATACCTTGTAAGATCTACTTGTCTATCTTCTAAAGTTACAACTGAAATATGTATAGACACCCCACAGGAGAAGGGTTAAAAGTACCCTTTATTAAACTCTTTAAAATTCACAATGCGTCAACTTGACGCTAACACACTACGCCTCACTCGGACGGTAGCTCAAATAACAAGAACTAAACTAAAATTCGAAGATATTAACAAGTAGTAGAAATTACGCTATAGGTCTCAGATAATCCTGTTACTTAAAACCGCGTCGAAACATAATGGCAGCAAAGTAATAGCTGTTACGCCAAGTTATCCAGCAATAAATGCAGAAATAGAAGCTCACGCTACAATAATACAGCGCTTTCCAAACTCTCTAAATTTCCGTTCTAGAACTCAGTATTTAAACCTTTTCTTCTCAAGGTAGAATTTGCATTACTTCACGCGCGCTACCAAATTTAAATATTCTGGCACTGACAATTAGGGAAATGAAGGCTTATAGGAAAGAACATGTAACTTAACTGAATTGGTTAATTAAAATAATTATCAATCCCTGCAACCTTACGCAATGAAAACCAGCGAAATTCAGAATGAAGAAGCTCTTTGTGCTAACTACTAGTGTCGCAATAAAAAATGAAAATATTCCGTTGTTCAGAGTATTTGCCTTAGTAAAATTTGTTATTGTAATGCTGTCTTCCACCAACACGGTTTTGAATTTAGATTACATGCCTTTGGTTGCTAAGGCTTCTCTGTGAATGAAACAGCATGTTCAAGTAATATCACGTTCCACAGCTCGAAATTTTGCTGCAACGCCTCTATGCCTAACTGTGAGAGCACGAGCAAAAGCATCCGAACAAAAATTTACGCCCTTTCTAAAATCGATTTAAAGCTCCTCCACAACGAATTTAGGACTTTAAAATTTGTTCTCCAGATTGCAGAAGTTGGCAAAGTTATGGGGAAAACCGCATACCTTCCGAAACGTCATCGTAAAACTGCGATGATTTCTGGCTGTGTGACATCTCAAGTTCCAGATATCCAGCAAAAGAGTGGCGAGAAGCATCACAGGGTTTCAAATCCCTTTCTTATTGCTAACACTAGAATGCGAATTGCGAAAGTATGGTATCTGGAAATAATTTTTTATAAAATGTCAATCTTGGGAGAAAACGTGATAGATGATATGCCCAATTTTCCAAGCACGGAAATTTTCAGATATAGTGTACTATACGCAGTTAAGATCAAATCGCTTCTTAACAGAAACCCGGTTTATAGAATCGATGGAGAGAAGTGGCATTGAGTTAATACTCCCGTTAGGGTACCAGATAGGAAGCTCTAACGCAAAGCACTCTAAATTTTTCATCAGCTTTGTTATTGGCTCTTTATTCTAAGTTTATAGAGATGGAGAAAAAAATAATTCTTTCTCAATTTCAAACAATTCAATGTCTAATTTTTTTTAGTTACAGTTGCATTTTATTTCCTTTAAGAGATTTAAATGAAATTTAAATGCTGAAAAAGGAAATTTTATATTTTTAACACGAAAGCTGCTCGAAAATGTTGTGCATAAAAGTAAGGTATTCTTATTTTTATATGAAAGTGAGCCTAACCATTAATTATCTAAGAAATTTGCCATCTAAATTTCTCCAGAATTGGTTTGCATCTGAATAAGAGCAAACTATGGAACTCGAAACCGATAGAATTTGTTTAACACGCATGCCAATCTAAGGTTGAGTTTATGCTTAATGCCACTATAGGCCACTATAGGTTCTTTCACTTGCAAAATGTTTGAGTACTTGAATAATTGAAACATCGGTATTTTTAAATGCTACAAATTTATGAGTATTGTTTGCGTCTATTGATTCCTACGCGCAAATAAAAGACTAACGGAATTTTGTTTATTCATTACTAGTAAGTTCTGTTGAAAAACTTGCAAAATTCCTTGTTCACAAGTGGTGAAATTACGATTTTATGAGAAAAAGTAGGAATTAAATCCAAATTTAAATGAACATTTAAAAAATTTGAGTGTACCCCTAATAATGTTATAAGAGGCTGAATGAACTTAGGTAATAATATATTATGTAAATTCGCTACTATAAACACCTCTACAAACTGAAGCATGGTAAAAACCTACTACTGGCTGCTTGCAAAATTTCAGCCGATCACGAATGAATACAATGTACTTTTAGCTGACAGTTTTAATTTTTTACTGATCTTTCTGTCTACAGCGTATAATGTAACAACTTCATCTTTACTGCATCATCTTTACTGCATATAATAGAGCATCCGGTAACTTTCGTGTTTTAAAGAAAAAAATGATTTTTCTATAAAGCTGTTAGAGTTTGAAAGTCTCTGCGTATCTTGAAACATAGGGGCTTAAAGACATTCCACATAGTTTATAAAGCATTTCTCACGCAAGCCTTCGTAGTGTAGTGGTCTGTTTCTTCTTAGCGAGCCTTCGTGGTGGTCTGCGTGTGTAATTGAGAGGTCCGCGGTTCGATCCCCGGCGAAGGCGTTGTTAAGTTTTCATCTTTCCTGCTTCAAATAAAATACCTAATGTCTCTACAGTGGCGCCCGAACTAAAAGGCTGTTTGATCATTCACCTCACCCAGTATTTGGCGATTGGGTCCCCTGAAAAACCCCAGTCGCCCTTTAAAAGGGAGGGAGTATATAGGGTATTTCTCCAGCCTCCTTAGCGAGCCTTCGTGGTGTAGTGGTCTGCACGCTCAGCGCGTATTTGAGAGGTTCGCGGTTCAATTCCCAGCGAAGGCGTGTCTAATTTTTCGTCTTTCCCGCTTCCAAAAAATATCTCATGTCTCTACAATTTTAAGAGATAGTAAAAAACATAAGACCTAAGATGAGATGATTGAACCTTCGTACGTAAACAAGAAATTAAAAAAATCCATGATACTTATCTATTGGTTTCTAAAAAACTGCATACTGTTTAGAAGTATGTATTGTGTTTTAATAATTTTATTAAACATACATGAAAGTAACTTAAGCGTAAAAACAGCTAAAAAATGAAATGCGTAAAAACAGCTTAACTTGCAAGACAAGAACCCAAATAATATGAGTTAATACCAAGTCATGATGATAATGATTTTTACAACCAGAAAAGTTTTGAAAGTGAAAAAAGAAAAAGAAAAAAAACTTTTTTCATATTCTCCATAGGATATTTCAGACACTTTTCAAGATACCTGAATAAAAGTTTTTGAAATTTTTATCAAAGTATCATCATTTTAATATTTTAAACTAAATTTGTGTTGTTTGATTGATATTTTATTTTTTATAAAAAAATATGTATCAAAAATATTAAATTTAAAATTTAAAACATATTTTACCAACCAACAAAAAAAATAATCCTTGCATCCTAATACTTTTAGTTAAATCCTATTTCCAGACAATTTTTTACGTAAAGAAACCGAAATTAAGCATTCTAGAACAAAACGGTTTTGAAGAGTGGTGCACAGTCAAATATAACTTAAAAAAACACAGATGCGAAAAAAAACAACTTATATTTAACATCTCTTTTTAATATTTTTTACGTTTACATGAATAAAAAATAATGAATTATAAATAACAAATTAAAAATATTGGGTATTTTTAATAAGGATTAAAAAAAGTTATACAAGATTTAGAATTAGTCAAAAATCTGACCCATTGACTCATCCAAGGGCCGTTTGGCCATTTAAAAAGATCGTGACTGTTTCAGTAGACAAATAGGTGATATTTGTGAAGAGGGATTTAGAAAGTTTAAATTGACAAAATTCACATTAGTTACAGACGTATTCGGGAGCCTGAAAACATTTGGGAACAAGATACTGTCGGTAAAGAATGCGATCAAACGTTAGAGAATGTGGGAAATAAATAACTATGACTTTTACAGTTTATTAATATATTTAAATATCTGCAATGTTCATTGTAACACTAACAGTAATCTGTAATAATAAGATTTCCCAATTACACATACTTTAATTCTGAAATAATTTATTTTTCAAAAATTAAACCATCAATTTTTCAAACAGAAATTCATATTCTTTTTCATAACATAAATTCTTAAAATTCAAAAATAGTAGTGCACTGTGTCTTAAGGTGATACGTGGAGAACTTATTATTATTACTTTTTATGTTGCCAAACAAACGCTTTTTTAACGCAAATAACAGCAGGCTTATATTATATAATTTTCATGGGAACACTAACTGATAATTCATTATGATTTAATACTTATACTATAATGCAGTTTTAAAATGATTTATATTTTTCAAAATTAAACTGTCAGTTAGACGAACAAAACTTGATACTTTTTTTAACTCATATTCTAAGAATTCAAAATTTAATGGAGTATTGTGTTTCGAGATAAATGGAGACTGCATTATTATTACTTTCTTTTAAATCATGGTTGCTAACAAATTTTTTTTTTTTTTCAAAATTAAATCATATAATTCCAAACCTAAAAATCTAGAAAACTTTCGCGAGTGCCTAATAATTGTGTCCAATGTGTGAATATGATCTCAAAACTTTGCTCACCGTTGGCGTTGGCGATAGTTTTAAGGAGAAATTCATGTGATTGGCGATAATATTCCTTTCGAAAGGACATGAAAAGTTGACGCAAGCGCTCACCTGCTAGTAACCCACTGAGCAGTAGAATTTTTTTCCACTAGGAAATGCCTAGAAACTGAGCCGCGTTGGAGCCAAATGATGAAGAAAACGTCCGCGAAAAAATATTGAAACATGCTGTTGTAAATGTTACAAAAGGAAATATTTTATTATGCGGTGAAAAAGTGCTAAATATTTTCAGCATGGATGGTGGTGTATTTTAACACATGTTTTGCCGCTTTCTGCGAATTTTCGCATGGAGCAGGTAAGAAAAACATAAAATCATTTTCAACCCGTATTAGATATGCAAAATGTATAACCTTAATTGTATTTTTGTAATTTAAACCTTAATTGTATTATATTGTGAGAAATGAGTCTTTATTTATAAATTCATTTTTGTTAGAAATTTTATAATTTTGTCTGTTAAAGATTATCCTTCAGTTTGTATTGTAAGAAGAGCTGATATTGGAAAAGTTCAATCAAAAACGGATCAAAAACATATAATCGATACATACATATTTTTACACAAGTGAAAAAATATCATGTACGTGAGTAAATAAGTATCAGTTGTATAGTTCGGATATTTATATAGATAATAATATTAGAATTCTGCTTTTACAATTTTTATACTATACTGCGGTATTGTCAACGTGTAGTAACGAATTCTTTTGTTATTCATTTATTATTTACCAGATACCGTATTTCCCTCACTCAGATTTGACTTGCGGAAGAGCATCATATTCTATGGATTTTCACATTAAATTAATTATTACTTAGTGACTTGATCCTTTCAGCTGAGAATTTATTTTAACATAAACGTTGTTTAAAATACCATTGTATTAAGTCATCTTTGATTTCCGGCGATTGTCAAGATTTGAGAGTCAAAATTATTTTAGTTCTAGAATTATTTTTATGTGATATATATAATCTGTAATAATACGCGTCCATACATGCGCATTGCACAAAAAAGTAACATACATACAGGTAGATAATAAGGAAAATGCCTTAAAAATTAAATGATTTTGCGCTAAAATTAAAAACCAATTAAAATCGACGGCAGTTACAGAAACCATACCAGGATACAACAAAGGAGAATAAAAAAAAAGTGAATCAAAATAGCGTAAACAACCATTCTAAAAATTCAAAAATGGGAAAGAGCAAGAAATTAAAAAACCTTATTTAATAGTTAAAACAAAATCATTTTATATTTCATCAGGGAAAATAAATTCGCTGGGTAATTTTCTTTACATTTGTGCAGACACCAACCTTGCCTCCCAGACGCTATACAATTACAAGCACCCATGCTATCTCCGGGATTCGAACCCGATCCCAGAGATACAACAGCTAGGAGCACTGATCATTATACCTATCAGGAAGGCCAGGCAAGCAGTACAGGTAAAAGTTGAAGCATGGTCGTCACCTAGGCATCGAAGTAGGCATATTAGGCATCGCTGGGCCTTGCTTCCGCCGCGGATCGAATTCCCAGAGAGAGGGGAGGTCCGAGGGTTTCCCACTCTTCTTTCTTTACCACCAACCTCTGGAGAGGATTCTGCTTGTCGTGTACTTTGAGTGTTCCCTTGCCGCACACGCACTATACACTTACAAGCATCCATGCCTTTTCCGGGATTCGAACCCCGGCCCTTCAGTACAGCAATACGGCTCTCCCGTCTGGGCGACGGCAAGCAACACATTAGGGGGTCCGATATAAATTAAACATATTAATTTAAAATATACTTTTATTTAGTTGTCATTAATTCGAATAATTTAGTTGACGCCCTAGGCGACTGCCTGTGTCGCATATATTTAGATCTGGCCCTACAGAACTAAGCAAAACATATGGGCATTCGTTTATGTGTCCTGTTTGGCTGCTTTATCACTGGAGTTATTATTCGAACTGAAAAATGTATATCGCATATTTATGAATTTTATTTTCATGCACACATTGAATGATGGCTTTCTTTACAAAAAATGAAAATGAAAATTGCTTTTAGGATTCGTTTCAAATAAACAGCTGGTGCGTAACTGCTTTTCAGGTAATAATTTCTTTTATAGTTTGTTTTTGTGAACGAGTTGTTTTCTTTTTTCTTTAAATTCTTCAATATATTTGAAACACAAATGGTTTTCCTTGAAATTAAGGCATTCTAATCATGTATTAGACCTAAGTTTAGAATTTGTTTGCGTAATTTTTTGTTTTTATTATTAAAATCCTCGTAGTTTTAAGTTTCAAACAATGCACATTTGTTACCAAAAAATTCTAATTTTTTTGAAAAATGATCTCTCTGAATCTATCTTTTACAGGCTTCTGAACTAATTAATTCTTTTGAATTAATTTCTCTGAATTAATTCGGTAAAATGCAAATTAATCATACATCTCCGGCAGTTCATTTGTCATTATGAAACGTAATCTAATTTTGAAAAACTCATTTTGAAACACATTTAAAGTAATTTAAAGGCTAGCTTTTTTTGGTCCTTGAAGAAAGAAAGCTTGTTTTATTTTTTAAATCAATCAGAGCAAAGCACACGAGGGTAATCTCGCCTAAGAAAGGAAATAAATTTGAGAAAATTTTTCTGAGACCTGATTCGAATTCTGGCTGTACAGTCGGGCAACAATGAAAATACCCATGCACGGAGCCCAGGTTCCGAGCCTGCGTCGACAAGCAGCATTCAGTGACCTTACCCTCTCGACATCTGCATGTAACTGAAAAAAAAAAAAAAAAAAAAAAAGAATCTGAGAGAAAAAAGTACTTTAACTTCCAGTAAATTATGTTTTTAGTCCACTGTTAAAAATGTAATTTTACTTAGATGCATATAAATTTCTTTATTATCAAGATATTTGAATATGGAGAAGAAATAGTTTAAATCATAGTTAAAAGCCGTAGATAAAAAAAGAATATAAAATATGCAAAGAGGGAGAGAAATGCGAAGTTTCTTTCTTTATATGGAAATGTGAATTATTTAATATTTAACATTCTTTCATAATTTTGGTATTCCGTTTAGTAATATTTATTCCAAAATTTTTTTTAGTACACTGCAAGGTATTAATACAATGTAACATACATTGCCAAACCACGGTTCCTTAAGTGAAGCTCGTACAGTAACAAACATAAATTTTGTTTTTGAAATATAATTATAATTTGAAACAGAAATCGCGTTTTTAATTATAAATAGTTTTGTTTTTTAAGTTATATTTTAGGCATAATAACTAGAAAAAATTCAAACGAAGCTCTAATCGACAAAATAAGGAATAAAAGACAAGTAATTCTGTTGCTATAATTATTTAACTTTGTGATGCTAATTTAAGAACACGATGGTTACCTCGGAAATAGAAAATGCTTTATCGAAACGATAGAAAAGACAAACACATTGACATACGTTCCGCTCATGATGTACCTCAAATCTTTAAAAAAGCCAGAGACTGTGTATAATTAAAACTTCCTTATAGGGAAGCAGGACCTATCAGATTGCCAGTTCTCATTAAACGAATCATAAACTGAATGATTTAAGTTTAAGTTTGAAATCCATATTTCTTCCCATTGGTTGGGAAGAAAATTTGAATTACTGTATTTATACATAAACTCTGTTAAGCTGGAAGTTTATTTAAAAATAATATTTACAATTAAAATTTGTCTGCAATTCTATTCATTCCACCTTCTGTTATTTTGTGCAAAGAATAATCTCTAGTAACGTTCTACAAATTATTGCGTTTTTCCTAATTTGCTTCATATATCAATATGAAAAACCTTTTTTTCATTTTCAGTTTATTTCCATTCATATTACTTGACAGTTTTATCCAGAGGCGAGATTTTTAAACCAAACAAAAATACATTTTTTTTCCTATCTGAACGGAGGGGAAAAATAGTGCTCATTGTATAGAGTCATTAGGTTTGTCGAAGCAGAAACTTGCAAAATATGTCCAAAAATGTTTAAAATTTTAAAGCATAGGAATATATATTCCTTAACAAAAAGAATGGTCAACAAAATTTTTGGTAATATATAATGGCAATTAAAAGTCACCTAATTAAAACATGCATTATCCTTGTTAATTTCTTCAAACTGTTCTACTCTTCAAAAACCATTTTGCTACTTTTTAACAAGATATAAAAATATAGGTATGACTACTATAAAATCTAGTTATGGCTCTTTTGAATAATAATCCAATCTATCATACTGTTCCACCTGGTGGTTTGTCTACCCCTACTTTATATGCTTATACACTGGTTATCATAAATTAAGGAAAATCACAAAAATCACGATTACTGAAAAAGTTACATGTAGAATTTTATGAAACCTTACCCACAATATACAACACATAGTAAGGTATCAAACAACATAAAAAGAAATTACCAGACAATTGTGGTAGTATAGAAATTATCACATGTATAAAATGAACAAATCGAAGATGTCAGTTTGCTGTAGTAAAAGTACCTTCAATATGGACTATAATCGCCTCTAGAAGCATACAGCACATTCAGCGATGTGTGATGCTTTCAATTATGCGGTCTATCAGTTCCATAGGAAGCGAGAGCCATTGCTCTTGCAAAGCAGTTGCACGCGCGGCAAGGGTCTAAGGGGGCGGATTTAGAGCAGCTAGACGTCTCCCTAAAGCATCCCAAACGTGCTCGATAGGATTCATGTCCGGCCACTCCATGCGCATAATTGCTTCCTGTTGAAGATAATCATATACGATGCGAGCCCTGTGTGGTCTTGCATTGTCGTCCTGTAACAGGAAAGCATCACCTATTGCCCCGGCATATGGGCGCACATAAACATCAAGGATGTCATCTCTATAAACATGAGCATTCACGGTTCCCCTTGGAAAAACATGTAAGTCTGTGCGTGCACCCAAAGAGATGCCACCCCAAACACTGACACTGCCTTTTCCGTATGCATCACTTTCATGGATGTTTGACGGATGATAACGGGTTCCAGGTTCTTTCCATATCAAATAACGCCTACTATCGCATTCTAGACTAAACCTGGACTTATCCGTAAAGAGAATAGCCCTCCATTGCTCAGGCGTCCAGTGGACATGTTATCGTGTCCACTGCAAACGGTCCTCCTATGGCGTGACTTGAGCAGCACGCGAATGGTTGTTCGCGTTCGCCTCGCATACAGACCACCTTTGTGAAGCCTTCTACGCACAGTTGACGTTGACACCAACCTTCCGGTGGCTGCAGCAAGGGAGGATCTAAGAAGAGTCGGAGTATCGGTTCTATTCCTGAGTGCACATTATGTCAAATAACGGTCATCGGCGCTCGTCGTAGC